CACTTACTGAAAACATGCTGTGTGCCAGGCCCCAGGTTCATTGACCTGTACTCTCTCTCACAACACCCAAGACGAGAAGCAGAATCCAGAGTGAACATGAAGTTTGCTGAGGATCACTCAGAAATGGGCAAGGGTAGGGGCGCCCTGTGTTGCTAGCCAGTTGGTCCAGTGGCCTCTCAGCACCGCACTGCCTCCTCACTTCTGTGACAACCAATCATAGGTGCTGAAGGCATCTGGACAATGTTATTCTAGAGGTTGCTGAGAAGCTATTTATTTATTTATTTTAGATGTAACTAATATTTAAATCAGTAGACCTTGAGTCAAGTAGATGGCCCTCCATATGTGGGCAGGTCCATCTGATCAGATGGACACCAAACAGAACAAAGGCTAATCTGCCAGGAAGAAGAGGGAATCCTGCCAGGAGATGATCTGTGGACTCACTGTGGAAAGTTACTCTTTCCTGGGTCTCTAACCTGCAAATTTATGATTACCAGACTTCCAGTCAGGCAAGACAATAGAACTGCCTGTAAGTTGGGCAGGGACCTCTAGGAATACAGCTTTGTGCATCATTACCTATGCTGGGGTGGGCTTCTTGGTAACGTAGCTTTCTTTGAGTCATCCATGCCCTTGTAAGTAACCCTGTTACATAGGACAGGCAGACCTCTGACAGGCAGGCCATGGACAGATGCCATCTTCCCAAGCTTGGTTGGAAAGGATCATCACTAAGCTAAGCTTGTTGTCTGTTATGCTGAGCAAGAAAGGAGGGACAGGAGAGTCAGTCAAACCTCCCAACCCACCAGTTGGCCCTAGTTGCACTAGGGGGAGGGGCTAAGGGCATATAAACTGAGGAAGCAGAGGGGAGGCTCTCGTCATTTTGTGCGGCTGTGGGGAAGTCACCACCCACACTTGGATGAAGACTTTCCAGTGCAACCTTAGGAGGGGGGCGCCCACATTTCTGTAAGTAAACTCTCACCCACTGCTCTGTAAGTAAGCCCAATCAACTCACTGGTTTCCTAGACTGTAGTTTGGTGAAATCATACCTCAGTTTGTTGTAGGGACCCAAAGTGGAGGGGTTCGATGTTGTTTATGCCTCCCAGAAGGATTTTCGTAGTGACAAACCCCAATAAATTCATGAGTTTACCAATTCAGACTTGGGTATAATAGTTTGTTGTTGGTGCCCTATCATGGATATTTGCTCATGTCTCTCCACAAAAAGTTTCACCACACACATAGATACATACAGTAATAGAAATACATATATGATATGTCATGATTACATTTTTCCTTGCACTGTTCCATGTCCTTATTCATACCAGCAGGTGATTCATCTACACATCCCCACTGCCCCTACCACAGATGCCAATGTGACTGACAGCATGCCAACTCAAGCTTGACTGACTTTGAAAAGACACACTTGGTGATTCTTTGGCATCCTAGACTTTGGAGAGACTATGCTGGTCCTGACAGGCTTTCCTAAGGAGAGTTCAGATGCCGCCACATGTAGAGCAATTACATTCTCCTCAAGGAGCGTGTATATGGGAAATGCCAAGCAGATGATGTCTCATGTATATCAATGTGGGTTGAAAAAAATCATCTCTAAAAAGAGAACAGAATGGAGAGGCAGCAGTGCCACCACAGCTGGGGGACCCACTTTTACATTACAACCAGAAGGCTGGAGGACCCACTTTTATATTACAACCAGAAGAGTGTAATCATGCTGGGCTTGATCAGCAACTATCCACACCATTACTGCCTTCCAGCAATATGCGGTTCAGCCTTCCAAGTTCGCCTCTGTTTATGAGCTCAGTTCTACACCAACTCCTTCAGCCCAAATGTCATCATTCCTCATCAAGAAGGCAGCTTAACAGTCATTCCCTGCTGGATCTCTTCTCAGTCCCCATCACGAATCCTGGTAGAGAGTAAGCATTTTATAAACGTTTGTGGACAGTGACTAATACACAGTCTTTGGCCACACTTTTGACTGTTTTTCAGTTTACTCAACAAGTATTTGTTGTGCTAGGAGGTCCCTACAATCCCAGGGCTCATACTCCACTATAGATAGAGGACATTCTCTGTTTGGTACACAGAGGGCTCACTGTTAATGTCAACGGTACCATCCAGGATGATGAGAAGACAGCAGAAAAAAATGTGTTTGGATTTCTGGAAGGGGAAGGGAAGAGAATGGGAGAGTAGGAGCTGGAAAGCAGGCTTCTCAGAAGACAAGATGTTGAGAGTGAAGGATGAGCAGGAGGTCTGCATGGAGGTGGATATACGGACCTTGGCAAAGGGCACAGCATTAACAATGGCTAGAAGAAAGTACATGAAGCACTCAGAGGAGGAAGGGCTTCAGAATACAGGGGAAATGAGACTGGAAGCAAAGAACAGGAAGCGATCACTACTGGAATCTCCATGGACTCCCCAGAGAGACTCTTCCTCAGCACCCCAGGAAATCACATCAACGCACCCAGCAGAGGGCTGCAGGGCTGGAGATGGAAGGAGCGAACAACTCTTCCTACAGGGAAGTAAAACCCACCTCTCAGCATTGTCTGTAAGAACACAACACAGATACTTCCCTTCGAAAGGCCACCCCAGGCCATCCTGGACAGTAGCTGAGGGTTGAGGCTGGTTAGCTATTTGGAAATTAGAGCAAGTTCCTCAGTCAGGACTTCTGTGATAACAACTATGTTCAAGTTCTCAGTCTCTGGGCACTATCCTGTGTCTAGTCCCTCCTATTTTGGGAGTGAGTAGTGGCTTCATCAGAAACAGTGTCCTTTACTTTCTGGTTAGAATGTATTTATGTTCATATACACCAGCTACCAGTGCTGACTGTGTGTTTAAAAGCTCTTGAGAGTTAGGCTACCACTCCACTAACAAGGGAGTAAGGCATTGTTGACAAAGAAGGGTTACTAGGGGCTGGGAAGATGGTTCAGTCAGTACAGTGCTTTGAAATCCTGAGTTTGATCCTCAGAACCCATATAAAAAAAGCCAAGCATGGTGGTATATACTAGTAATCCCAGCTCTGGGGAGGCAGAGACTGGCAGATCCCTGGCCAGTCAGCATAGCCTACTTGGTGAGTTCCAGGCCAATCAGAGACCCTATCTAAAAAAAAAAAAAAACAAAAAAAACAAAAGAATGACACCTTACCTGAGGAATAATATCATAATACCCAAAGTTGTCCTGGCTTTCATACAGATGTACAAACAATCACACACACTCACTCCCATACACAAAAGAAATGTCAACAGTCAAGAAATCAGTCTCCTCAGCTATCAGTCTATAGCATCTTCCAGTACAGAAGTGAGCAAGTGGCTTCTGTTCTCTGAGCAAAGTGACTGAGCATGGGTCTCACAGAGCCTCCAGATGAGGCCAGGAACTGTCCCCACTGTGCTCTCCTCTCATTAGCCAGCACAGGATGTGAAATATTTGCCAAAGTCTGGTTGTACCTCTGATCTCTAAGTCTCAGAGCACAGAGACACTAAGTTCTTTAAGTTTACATTAGCACCATGGCCTGCTATAAGCCATGAGTGATCCAGGGCATACAGTAAAATGAGAGGCTCTGAGTGATGATTTTGATTAGTCAAGATCACAGTGATGCTTGCATTAGTCAGAGGGCACCATCATTTAGCACAAATGAGTGAGTCCAGAGACAGTATGGTGGCTCCCTGTGGTCACACAGACACTGAGCACTAGATGAAATGTCAGCTTTTCTAATTTATGACTAATATATGCCCAGAGTAGACTAGTTTTAGAAGTACAGTGGGAAGTAAACCTTCCCACCACCCCAGCCACCTGACTCCTTTTTCCAGAGTGACCCATGTTGCTACATTTTTGTGTATCATGCTGGAAATAGTCTATACATGGTAAACCTATATGTACACACATGGTATATACATATATATACAAAATTATACCTACGTACTTATAAATAAAGCATAATCGGTAGCATAGCATATCAACTGTTCTAAACCTTAATTTCTTAAAAACAAACAAGATGTCTACAGGATGGTTTTATATCAATTTGTGGATAATTGGCTCATTCTTCTTAATCACTATGCAATATTCAATTTTTGTACCATAATTTATTTAAAAACTTCTTCATGCCCTTTCTAACCCTTTGGTATTATAACTTATTCCTTGCTTATGTGAATATATGCATCATTTCATACATGTGTGGGCCTATTTTTAGAATACATTCTTAGAGATACTATGAGGATAATTTAGGAATCAAAAGGTAAAATTTTATAGGTATTCTCATATCGTTCTCCAGGGAGTTCTACAATAAATTAGCACATGAGTCTTCATCTGTATCTGAGTTTCTGTTTAGAGTTATTCAATTACTTACTCAAGTATCAATTCAGTTTTGTCTATTCATATATATGATTACTATATATATATATAAATATACATATATATGTAGAAAGCCACTCCTGTCATCACTCATTTTTTCCAGAATTTTGTACCCTTGTTTTATATTTACATTAAAATAATAATAGCTAACATGTATCTAGTGCTTTCTGTGTGCCAAGCACCAGACTTGGCATTTTAAAACATATCAGATGCTTTTTCATTGAAGTTTTCTTTGGGGTCAGATGTGGTGGCATAAATAGCTCTGTCTTTAGAAAGGAAATACCTACCATGCAGCTCAATTTTGGAGGCTGAGGCCAGAGGACTATGAATTCAAGGACAATGTGGGCTTCTTTACTGAGACCCTTCTCAAAAAGAAAGCAAAGAGCCAGGTATGGTGGCACATACCTATAATCCCAGCATGTGAGAGGCTGAGGCAGGAGGAGTTCAAGTTCAAGGTCAGCCTGGGCTATATAGCAAGAACTTGTCTCAAAACCAAACCACATAAAGATATCAAAAAGAAAATGTAATCAATATTTCTTCAAAAATATGGAACTAGAAGAAATGCTTTTTACATAAGTTAATAGTCTGGCTCTTGGGAGAATGGTGCACCAGCCCACACTGTGTCCTTTCCATCTGGAGCCATTGGCACCTACCTGGATCCCCAGAGCCATCACTGTTCCTCTCGCTCTCTCCATCTTCTTGGCCATCTGCGTTCTGCTGTGTATGCTGCAGGCTCAGCTTGTGGCAGACCTCAAAGGCCTGCCCCACTGTCCGGACAATTCTCATAGCTTGGCTCTGAGAAGGAAGAGGGAAAAGAAAGGGTTAAGGATGCAGAGACTCTACAAGGACACAGTAAAGTTGGGAGTGGGAGGGGAAGTGCAAGGGGCATGGACGTAAGAAACCCAGGCAGCCAGAGAAGGAAAGAGGTAGAAAAACCCAAGGTGGCTCAGATGTCCAAGTACTCTAGAAAACAGCACCATAGTTGTAAAGCAATTAACTGAAAGGTCAGAGGTGGCAAAGGGAAGTGTATAAATTATGAACTTAGATTGGAATCGGCCCCATTCTTCCCTCCTAAGAATAAAAGAAGTAGTTCTTAATGCTTCAGAATCCATCATCAACCATTATCAAACGAGTATATCAAACTAGGAGGAATCAATTTTTTCAAATGTTGGGTTTTCTAGGCACTCCCACAGACCAGATACTATGGGGCTTGAACATCCAAGATAACAGCAGAACCAACGGGAGCTCTGCATCCAGATCTGTGGTGGCAGCTGAGAGTAAGGTAAGCTTCTCCCTCTTGCTCTAAGATGTTGTATACACAGATCTGTACACCAAGGGGCACACAATGAGAGAGAATTTCTTCAATAAATGGTGTTCAATAAATTAAACTTTACTCATCAGAAGAGTGAAGTTAGACCCTTACTTTATACAGAAAGGAACTCAGAATGGATTAAGGACTTTAAGGCTTGAAACTGTAGAACTTCTAGAAGAAAGCAGGGCTGACACTCTAGGGCACTGCTGGAGCTATGACTTTCGATAAGGCGTGTCTCCTTCCCTGCTTCTATTCTGCTTTTTCACATCTTCCTCCTGGGGCCCAACAAGAGGGCTTCCCCCTGCCAGCCAGGATTCCACTACTTAATTAGGAGAGGTAGGAGGACAGAGAAGCCTGCCTAGATTGTCTTCAGCATCCCCAACAGGCTGTGAGGCAGAAGCACAGGCTGGGGCCTCAGGGCATGGTCTCAAAGGTACATCACTAGCTATATAATTTGATTAGTTAGCCCCTACCTTCTTTCAAGTGCTGAAAATAAAGAGAGATGAAATGCGCAGTTTCAGAGGCCAGGCTGGGTAAACCACACATCTCCCCATCACTGTGGTGGTTTGAATGAGAAATACCCCCCCCCCCGGCTTCATGTATGTAAACCCTTGGTCCCCAGTTGGTGGCACTGTTTGGGTGGGTTTAGGTGGGGGTCCTTGCAGGAGAAAGTATGCCACTGGGGTGGGCTTTGAGAGTTCACAGTCTTGTCCCATTTCCAGTTTGCTCTCTGTTTTGTGTTTGTAGTTGAAGATGTGATCTTTCTGCTTCTGCTCCTGTCACCACCCCCCATGATGGACTCTTGTCCCTCTAGGACTGTAACCCAAAATAAACTTGTTCATCAATTGTTTTGGGTCATATATTTAATCACAGCAATGAAAAAGCACTTATCACAGTTAGACTACTAATAGACTACAGTCTATTTCAGCGACTTCACTTTACACCAAAGTTGAGCATTAACCATATTTTGAATGATCTGCATTCAAGTCAGGTATGACTACCTGGTAACCCCACATAGTCCGCTGATGATAGTCAAGACCCCCACATGACATCAGCAGTCAGGCAGAGTTCCTCATCAGCATGAGGTAGCTGGTATTACATTACCATACCAATATCAAGTCTTCTGATAAACCTAGGGGGCTGTGTTGAGGGTGTGCATATGACCCCTCATATGTGCTACTCAGGATATTGAGATTTGTTTGCATTTCTTATGGTACCTTCATGAACTCCTTGGAACTACAGAACACCATGTATGAACTGCTCTAGTCCACTCAGCTTGACTTGCTACCCTGGGAATTTCCTCACACCTGGCATCACTTCTATGATGCTTCTTGCTATTTCAGGCCAAAGCATCCATGCTAATTTGAAAAGGCGTTAAGTCAATCTTTATCTACACGTTTACTCCAGATCTCAGTCTAGCTCTACTCCTAGTATTCCTTAGCTCAAACTACCTTTCAGCAGTGACTGGTTTATAGTTTAAACATATCTTGGTCTACTATGTTAACTCCGGAGGCAGAGGTGTTTAGCTGATCTCTCACCTGGAACATCCTGATGTTTCTGGGTGATAAGTTTAAGTAAAGCAGGAGATAAGTAACTTTTGTACAGCCTCCCACCACCGAATGGAACATCAGAATCTCTGTTCTCTACGTCTACACTTAACTTCCTCCTCCACCCGTTCACACAGCAGACCGAGGCTGCTACTCATCCTATAGGCCTGCAGCACCTGAGGGTCAACTCTGCACAGGAAATCATGAAGCACTAGGCACTGGTCCTAAGCGAGAAGTCCCCACCCTTCCCATTCAACAAAAAAAACATGAAAAGGTGTGCTTTGGAGAGATGGTGCCTAACAGGTCCATGATGGGCATACTCCAACTTTCTGTATCTCCTTTGGCTACAAAGCTGTGCTCTGGTCAGGTGGCTGCATTGGAAGGCTCAACTAAAGATGGAAAAGAATATGTCTTAGTGTTATCCCCACACGATTCCTCGGGCCTTTTGCTCCCTTTCTGAAAAGAAGAGCAGGCTGCCCGTGGCTTCTCCATCTTCCACAACAAAGCTCATTTCTGCTTTATCAAGCCACATATGTGAGCCTTTTGTGAGACTTCACTGTCCCATTTTTTTCTAACTTGTGATTTTGCGATTCTGGGAATCTTCATATGAAGCAGAAAAGTTAAGTGTTTTATGTTCTAGAAATAAAATATGGGTTGAAAGTAAATGATATATAGAGACTAAGGCTTTAATTCTATTCCTTTCTTATCTTATATAAGTAACCCAGCAATCTCATTTTCGTAAATACTTGCAAGGATTGCGTTTATTTTTTCCCATCGTTCTCAGCATAAAGACTCAGTTTCTCTCTTTAAATTACAATCACATAGGAAGCAAAGCTCACTCCTGTGTGCATTGCTGTAAAACCTCAAGTTTCTAAGAAAGATATGCTAGAAATTCTATCACCTCTGGAAATCATGGACATTTCCATTAACTAGCTTTGAAGATACTACATTTTTAGAGAGCCATAAACATTTCCCAAGCCTATGGATTGGACAGGAGCAGGGATCAGATTTATAAAGTTATCTTTGGAAGGAATTACATAGATTTAAAACAAAGTAGCTAGAGTGGGTGGAAAAGGCCTTTACAGAGGACACGCATCACCAGTTGCCAATGCCACTGGCACCCTCCAACCTGAGCATTTAAAGAATCTAAACTCTGGCTTGATCTCTATTCTCCCACTTTCAGCAGAAACAAATGCATGGAACATTTCTACAAATTCAGCCTTTTATATGCCCAAAATCGTTGTAAGGAAGTAGGCTGGTTTTAACACTTAGTGTGGACACTGCTTTATTTTTTATATTTCAGTACATTTTCTAGAATCAACAACTGACCCAGAACTTATGACCCTCCTAAAATGCAGAAAATGTTGATTTTATCAGTCTGACCTCTTATGTTGGAAAGCGAGTGCAGGTTCTTTACCATCCCATTTCCTTCTATCCTCTCTGGATCACAGCTTTTATGTTGCAATTTCTCAAGCTTACTGAAGAAGTGAGCCAACAGCATGCCTTTCTCCCTGCATCTTCTCTGCTGCACGGAGTTGGTATGTGAGGAGTATGTATGGCAGCACTTCCCAGATGCTACATACAGTGGTGCTCAAGAAATGCTTTATGCTATCAGGCTGTAGTGCCAGTGCTTGGAGGCTGACACAGGATGATTAGGAGTTCAAAGCCAGCCTGGGCTATATAGTAAGATCTTGTCTCAAAAAATAATAATAAAGGTATGAGGTGGGATGGTGAGAGATGGCTCAAAAAACCCCTCTTTATTCTGATTATGGTATTCACTGCACCAAAAGGTGATTAAGGAAGAAGATAAAAAGTAGCTCAGGATAGGCTTGGATTATTTTATCAATAATAGAAACATAAAGAACATAAGGGAGTCACGTTTTCCTTACGTATGCTAAGATCAAAAGAGCCAGAGCCACCATCTTCCTTCCCATAGATTTAGAGGAAAAGTCCCTGGTCAAATGCATCTCAGATCTGAGCTAGCCTAACAGCTTCTATGCAGAAGAAAATTGGTCAACAAGACTTCTAGAGTTGTAGAGTTGGTGCCAAATGGTTTCATTTCAATGTCTTTGAAGGCTGTGTCTCCATTCACAAAAAAAATGACACAGCGGCACCTTTTACAAAGTTCCCTGTGCTCTTGAGGAGGTGGTACAGTACTCATATCAAGCTAGCCTTTTGCTCTACAGAATGACTGCATACCCATAAAGGACTGGCCTTTCCATTTACCACTCTGGGGGTCAGCAGGGGCTGGGTGGCTCCTAACACTACTTGTTAATGGCTATGTTGAGTCCAGACGCCCCTTGACCTTTTAAGCTTCCTTCCATTCCTTCACTACTGAAAAGTTTTTTTTAGAGGATGTGGTATGAGGACCTTGCTGGTGAAGCAATTACTGGTAGGCAATCAGCAGGGGCCACCTGCACCTAGCAGAGGCTGGACCTCTCACAGCTGCTCTCTGCACAGCCCAGTGGGCTCCTGTCTGCAGGCTTACCCCACTTGGTGACCCTAGGGAAGAAAACAGGTTCTTCCTGCTGCCCTGGAATGCAGTAGTCACACATGAGGGGACTTAATAGTAAGCCATGTCTGAATCCAAGAGGGAGAACTTGGTTTAAAAGAAGCTTTAAGAAGAACTCCTTGCAGAGGTTTCCATGAATGTGTTCTTTAGGTCTCCCGGGTCACACGGAAGCAGTTGCCCAGATCCCATGGCCTTTGGAAATCAAAGAGGCAGTTTAAAGATTACAGGCATTGAGCACACTGCAGACCCAGCAAACTGCCTAATAGGAAGGCAGCCTTTTCCAGCTTCCAGAGATCTGGCCACTCTCTGGAATTTACCAGACTGGAAAAAAGAAAGCATCATCATACCACCTGATTTTGTACAAATTCAGCTTAGTTTTACATAAGCCTCTAAAAGTGCTAGGTGGCACATGGACCAAATCTTC